ATTTCGAGTTAAGCAGTACCTTATGTCACCATTTATGTTGAAAATTTTAAATAGAGAACTCGATGACATGCTGAAGTTAAAGGTGGTTGAACCATCTCAGAGTCCATATAATAGTCCAGTCCTTTTAGTAAAAAAGTCATCTGGTGAGTACAGGTTTTGTTTTTACGGGAGAAAACTCAATGAAGTAACTAAGCACGATAGCTATCCACTACCTCGCATAGACAGAATTTTGAATTTGCTCAGAGATGCAAAATACATCTCAAGTATTGATCTACGCAAAGCTTTTTGGCAAATCCCTTTGGATGTGTCGTCACGTGAGAAAACTTCATTCAGTGTGCCTGGTAGGGGATCTTTTCAATTCACAGTCATGCCATTTGGCTTATGTAATAGTGCTCAGACTCAGCAGAGGCTCTGTGACGCTCTATTTGGACCTAAGTTTGAACCACATATTTTCACATATCTGGATGATATAATTATTACTTCAAAAACTTTTGATGAACATGTATCACTTCTTGCTGAGGTGAAGAATATTTTAGAAAATGCAAATTTAACAGTGAACAATAAAAAATGTGAATTTTTTAAAACATCCCTCAAGTATCTTGGTTATGTTATTGATAGAGAAGGACTCCGCACAGATACTGATAAAGTAGCAGTGATGGTCAATTATTCTCGCCCTACTACCAGTACTGAAATCAAACGTTTTATCGGAATGTGTTCATGGTATAGAAGATTCATCGCAAATTTTTCAAGTTTGATAGCACCTATCTCAGGCCTCCTCAAAGGGAAAAAGAAGGGGCAACCAATAACTTGGTCTCCAGAGGCGGAAGATGCTTTCATCCGTGTTAAAAATGCTTTGATATCGTCTCCTATACTAAGTTCACCAGACTTTGATCAACCTTTTGTTATACAGTGTGATGCCAGTGATTATGGTATTGGAGGTGTTTTGACTCAGAATATTGATTCACAAGAAAGAGTTATAGCTTATGCTTCTCGTTCCTTATCTCGTGCAGAACGTAATTATACTGTGACGGAAAGAGAACTTCTCAGTTTGATATTTTTGATAGATAAATTTCGACCTTATGTAGAAGGCACAAAATTCAAAGTAATCACTGACCACAGTAGCCTTTTGTGGATCAACAATCTCAAGGATCCTTGTGGAAGACTTGCTAGGTGGGCTGTGAAGCTCAGACAACATAATTTTGAATTAATACATAAGCCCGGAGCTTTAAATGTCTTACCTGATTTTCTGTCCAGAATTCCTACTAGTGATTTGCCTGATGATAACCAAGAAATTTTGTTGATAGACATAAAGGCCGAATTATCGGATAAATGGTACACTTCACTTAAGAGGAGAATTTTAGAGAAACCTGAACTGTTTCCACAATGCAAAGTTTCAGGAAATTTGCTTTTCAAATTTATTCCCTCAAAGGGCATAATTCAAACTAATGAAAAAGAATGGAAGACCGTCGTTCCTAAGTCCCAAAGGAATGATGTTATTAGAAACTCTCATGATCCACCCACATGTTCACATTTCGGTTTTTACAAAACTTTTAGTAGAATTCAGGAAAATTATTATTGGCCAAAGATGCGCCCTGATATTTTGAGATACATTCGTCAATGTAAAGTTTGTCAATCACAAAAGTTAACTAACACATCACGTTTAGGTTTAATGGGCTGTGAAAAGCAGGTAAACTTTCCTTTTCAAGTCCTAGCTGTCGATCTTATGGGGCCATTTCCTCGATCACCCCGTGGATTTACATATTTACTCGTAATTGGAGACTGGTTTTCGAAATATACCATTCTATGTCCCCTAAGAGACGCGACAGCACCAAACATAGTTAAATTTTTAGAAAATCAAGTGTTTTTAGTATACGGTGTACCTCAGATTATCATTGCGGACAATGGTACCCAATTTGCAGGAAAAATCTTTAAAAAGTTAACAGATACGTATAAAGTAAAAATTTGGTTTACGCCTCGCTATTCAGCGCAGTGCAACTTTGTTGAACGTAATAACAAGACAGTTGGACAAGCAATACGTAGCTATATAGTTGAACATAAGGATTGGGACAAAGAGTTATCTAAGATACAATTTGCTATTAATACATCTGTACATGAAGTGCATAATTATGCCCCAGCATTTTTGAATTTTGCTAAAAATATTCCTCACTCAGGTAACTATTACAGTAATATATCTGATACAGTAGGAATAGAGTTAAATCCTCAAAGTAGATCTGAGTTTGTAGAAAATATTTCTAATCTAGATACAATTTTTAAAGAAGTAAAGAATAAATTGCATCAGGCTTACCAACGAAATTCACGAGCATATAATTTGAGAAAGAAAGATTATTCTTTCAATATTGGAGATAAAGTTTGGCGTCGAAACAAGGTACTATCAGAAGCTGCAGTAAAATTTAGTTCAAAACTAGCACCCAAATATGTTTTGTGTGTAGTTAAAAGAAAGGTTTCACGTTTAGTTTATTCTCTGGAATATGAGAATGGTAGTCCAGCAGGAGACTGGCATATTAAGGATTTGAAACCTTATTTTGGGTCTAACTCGGACATATCAGTCGGTTAGTTTTTTGAGATATTTTGAGATATATTTTTGAAATTTTTTGAAAATTTTCGAATTTTTTGGAATTTTTTTGCAAGTTTTTAGGAACTTTTTGGTAGCTACCGTGAATGTGAAAGTTCACAAAAATACCCTTGGAATGTTCTACATATTGTGACATTCAATATTTTGTATTTTAGTATTTCAAATTTTTGAAATTTGCAAATTTAGCCCCTGAATTGAAACTGTTAGATTGCAACAGTTTTCAATTTTTCCCATTGCTGACGAGTAATGAGATTTTCCTTTTTGTACAGTATTTAGAGTTAGTTATGTAAATATTATGTAAATATCTCTGTTCCGGATAATTTTGGATAGACTTTCCCGATTTTGGAAATTTACTCGATTATGAATTCTACCGACTTAGACTTCCCGATCGTGACCTCCCTTAGGATGTTTAGTACGCATAGCTACTACCCCAAGTTAATCCTTGAATAGAGGTATGCATTTGATCTTCATGGTCATATTTTTTGGGGTAAAGGTTGGTTATCCCTGGATTATTCCTAAAGCTACCTGAACTTGGACATGTTCCCAACTAGTGTTATCACGACAGTAACACCGCTGTTAGTTAGTTCCACTGCTTTATGTGGACAGACATAACCAGTGATGGTCCAAATACTGTTCCATTTCTTTTTCGGTCGGGCTAAGAGCTGGTTATCCCTGGAATTGTTCCTAAAGCTACCTGGACTTGGACATGTTCCCAGCTAGTGATTCTATCACGGCAGTAACATCGCTGTTTTTTCATTTTTGCCACTGGTTATGTGGACAGTCATAACCTGTGATGGTCCATGCACTGCTCCACCTTAAAGTTTTGGAAGTGATCAGCACTTTTGATGCTGATACTTCACATTTGCTGTGGGATATTATCTTCAATTTTGATACTTACATTTCCCATAGTATTTTTGAGTAAATTTTGAAAAGCCAAGAGCTATTTTTTGTCTGTAGGGACCTTGGAAGCGTAGGGGTCGTGGACAACAACGTGATGTGGGTCGTCATAGTTGTCTCATGACAGGTTGGGCTGACGAGATATATGTCTTGTTGAATTTTTGTTTAGGCGGGTTCAATGGGCATATTTCTCGAAAGTACCGCTCTTTTGCTTTTGCACTCGAGTAGTCTCTAGGGACGACCTAACTCTACGTGAATGGGAATACTCCCGAACGTTTTTTGTTGAATCTTTTTGTTTCAGGTTTGGCCTGTTTAAGGTTGGTGGCCGTATGTCACCCCAGTTGAACGGTGGACAGCTGGTTAAATCAAAATTTAAAATTTCAAACTTTCTTTTTTGTTTCCACCTCGGGATTTTTTAGTGAGTTGCCTTCGTTCGTTTAGGAGTTGACATCTCACTGATTGATTCTGAATGCAATTTCAATATTTGGATACTGATATTCGTCTCGGTGATCTGAAGTACTTATCCCTCTGTATCCATTGTTGATATTGTAATTTTTTGAAAATTTAAATCAATCCAGATTCAATTTTTTTCTTGGGAGAGAGGTGATGTAGCATGTAAATTTTCATTACTGTATATTTTGTCTGATTCTATAATATTCTGTAATGCTGAGCACATCTGACAGGATATTTTGTCACAATAACATGGTTAACATTTTTCAATAACATAAATTGAACTCAATCTGCTTCATATATATATTCTCAAACCTGATATGTGGATACACACCTGAGATTTCACACTGTACATATAATAAAAATACAATTTCTATAAATACATTGATATCTCTTGCTATATCTGCTTTGTTGTGATCCAAGTAGAAGGATGATTCGGATGGTTTTTACAGAAACTTATCTGAAAGAGATAAATAATATAAAGTGATATGAAATACCATTTCAGAGACATTGTCATACTCACTTTTCACACTGCTATTTCCACTTGAAACTTCATCACAGTAGGACAATAGGTATTGGATTTTCCAGGAACGCTGATGCGGATGGTTTCACTAGGAATCGACCATGGTGAATCAATTAACTTCGTTTGGCATTATTTTCTTGATTGATGCATTTGATAAATTCAGGTTGATGTTTTGATCTTGTTGATCTGTTATTTCGCTTTACGTCAATTAGCTGTCGGTCATGACACCATGTCAACAGTGTCAAACTTGTCATGCGCCAAACGCCGATTCGGATTGATATGTCCTTAAGCTGGATTCATATGCAAGCTTTTCGCGTTTTCGCTTATCGCGTATTGATGTCTGATTGGCTGTTGAAGTAGAAAGCGCATTTCAAGGTCAGTAATCCGAAAGTCCAAACAGTTTGAACTTTTTATTGGAGAAAAGCGCCGATTCATCAGAGTTTTATGTTCTATGACAGCTCTGTTCTGTTTATTTTGTGTTTTATAGTTTCCTAATCAATCATAAATATAAATAACCAAATATAATTGAAAATTAGAATGGAAGAATTGAAAAACTTCTCTATTGAAATTAATGAAAATCGTATCGATTTCCGAGTTACCGATGATCAGTTCACATGTCTAGCCAATGGTAAGTACTATTTCATTTATCTCGTCAGACTTATAGGAATTTTAATTTTAAGATGATGAATATCTTCTGGAGTATATAACAGAAGCTATTGAAAAAGGAAAAATACCAAACGTCAGGAGTATTGATGATATAACAATAAAAAGATTGAACCATAGACAAATTGAAGGAGACACATCTGAAAGAGCTAGTGGAAATGAAAATTCATTAGAAGAAATGTTGATAACACTTGTTTCACAAAACCCTCCACTGTATGACTGTACTCTCCCTTTGAAAAATAGGTCTTTGAATATCAGAAATGATATATGGTCAAGTCTTGTGGAGTTATTACAGGAAGCTGGTTTTAGTGTGAATGTTGAGGCAGTGAAGAATAAATGGAAATACCTGAGAGACCATTTCCTGAAACTTAGAGCAATAGTTGAAAAACATGTCCCTACTGGTAGTGCAGCTAGCTGTATTGTCAAGCGGGATATTGAAAAAGCTAAAGCATGGAAATACTTCAACAGCATGCAATTTTTGAAAGATTCTTCGGAAAAAAGAGCTACCACTTCTAGTTTGAATATTGCTCCAACTGTGGATAAGGAGAACACTGTTGAGGAGATTGATAGAGCAACTTCCAGCTCAAAAAGGCGTAAAAAAGAAGATGAGGCTTTCTTGAATAAATTACAAGAAATCACTAACGTTCCACTTCCAGAAATTCCCAAGATGGATGAAGTTGACAATTTTTGCCAACATTTAGCTGCTGGTTTGAGGCGATTACCAATACAGTCTAGATATAAAGTTGAAATAGAATTTTTAAGAATTTTGGGGGATGCTCATGTTTTGAATGATGTGTAATATACATTAATCAATGTTGTGTTTAGTTAAAATTTTCGAATAACTTTTTCAGTTGACTGATGAATTTTGTAATATTTGATGTCTCATAAGTTTTTCAGGTTTGTTATAAGAAAAATCTTGATTTGAATGAAATATCATATATTGATTCTGAAATTTTCAATATAACTAGTTTTATGAAAATCATTGAATCGATTTAAATATCAAAAAAACATTCCTATTCCTTTCAAAGTTTTTGTTCTAAATAATCATCACAAAAATCTATCAGTTCATTTATTTTAATATCAATTTATTGTAATGCTTTTTGCCACTGAAAATCTACACTACCATCAGTCATAAAATAGTCTGCAAATTCTTCCCTGGTGGTCGATGCACTTGCAGTATAAGCATGTTAATTTCTTATATCAAGATTTCTCAATGCTCCAGGATTGCCTTCATTCCTCCATTCACCTAAAATTAACCCTCCATCTGGTTCTTCATCTACATATCCTCTTGGACAATATGTTGATTGCTCATTCTGTGCATTTTCTTCTAATAGAAAATTATGTAAACATACAGAAGCCTTCACAATAGCTTCTGCAGTTTCGAGAGATGATATAATGGGCTTCCGAAATATTCTCCATCTTGCTGCAAGTATGCCAAAAGCATTTTCGATGGTTCTTCTGGCTCTAGATAATCTGTAGTTGAATATTCTCTTATAAAATTGATTACTGAGTGTGGGATAAGGCTTCATGAGATAATTGGATAATTGAAATGCATCATCAGCTACTAAAACATAAGGAAATTTAGGCCCACCAGGAAACATTTCACTTGGTTGAGGTATATCTAATAATCCTTCTTCGAATGCAATACCCATTTGAGAACATTTGAAAACACCTCCATCACTTTGTCGACCTTGAGCACCAATATCAACCATTATAAATTGATAGTTGGCATTACACGCAGCCATTAGCACTATGGAATGAGTTCCCTTGTAGTTATAAAATGTGGAGCCAGAGTGCCCAGGCAGAACACTAATATTGGTTGAATGTTGGAAAAATATAAGCGAATGTTGGGAAAATATTGATATCGAATGTTGGGCCAAGAAAATAATGTGAACAATCTGAGATCTTGATATAATATCGAATTCCAATCTTGTTTGGATATGCTTCGTTCAATACCATGTTTATATTTATATACAATATTCAATTCATATTTGCCTCGTATATTGGACCAACATGAGAATGTGAACATTTTGTAATATCAATTTCATATTCAATTCCAAAATTCAATCAATATTGAATTTCGTCGGTGCAACGATATTCAAACTTAATATTCACGAAATATTGGTATCTTATTTTGGATGTTGAAAATTTGAGAATATTGACTCAACATTTGAGTGTTACATTAGATCAATGTGAATTTTCAATATATTGCCAATACATGCAATCGAAACCGTTCACATATCGAATTCCAATGTACAATCAATATCAATTGTAAACTGGTGTTCGATAATATATAAATATTGTATTTCAATATGTTGCTAATATCCATAGTAGATATTGGTGTTGAATATTCGAAGAATATCGTTCGATATATTGTATATTATATTGGTCTGCAATATTATCATAACATTGGTTTTGAATAATAGGTGAATATTATTCTTCAATATTTTGCTTATATCGGGTAGCTTATATTGGCGTTGAATACTGGGAGAATATCGTTTTTCAATATATAATTCATATTATTCTTCAAGTTGCCATCAATACACTGTGTCCGAGATAAAGAGGGCCAGTATGGTTGTCTTGGAAACTACAAGAGATACATATTTGGTTGAATGGGATAAAAGTGATTTAAGGGCCAACAATCTTATCTTTGATTTGATTTTTTGTTTTGTCATTTTGAACAAACTGAATTTCTGGATTTTCAATTTTATTTCAATGACGGTCAAAATATGATCGAAACGCATCAAAACCAATATGTGTAGCATATTGTCGAAATCAGACCGAAAAGGGCTTATCGAATCTGATACCAAGGCCGTGTTTGAATAAATGGAAACGTTAGATCAGAAAGTGGATGATGCTGAATTAATTATTCATAATATGTCATAACTTCATTATTGACAGCCAGAAAAAAATAAAATTGAGAATCCAGAAATTCAGTTTTTTGAAATCAACTCAAAACACGAATAATCATATCAAAGATTTCTGATAGTCATTCTGTTGACCCTTCAATTACGCAACTTTCATCTCATTCAACCAACTCTGCATCTCTTGTAGTTTCCGAGATACCCATACTGGCCCTCCGTATCTTGGATCTAGTGTATAATTGGATATTAATTTTATATTTAAATTCTTTATTCCACAGTGGTTGTCTGTTGTGTCCACTGGAACGCTCAAATAAAATGGGGACGGAAAGGGTTTTTTTGAATTCCAACATTTTACGTACTAAACTTTTAATAAACAATTTCAAACATGTTTGATGAAATAAATTATATGCTTATTCTAAACTTGTACAACAAAATTTTACTAAACTAACATATTATGGTCAATGAGAAATGTGACGAATAGAATTTGTAGTTATTAAACTTTCCATAAAAAGTGTCAACATAAAAAAAAATGGATAAGCATGAAACATCTAATTTAACAAACTATTCAGAACAATTTAGTTGAGAATTCAGATTCAGTATATAAATATAAAAAAAAAAAACATTTCTCAAAATCATATCAGCTATGTAATCTACCTCTTCTAATATTCTCTAAGCACTGTGACCTTTTTCTTCATCATGAGACGAACATTCATCATAAGTTTTTTAGTTGACTCAGGCACATATACTATTTGCAAAATTACCTATGTGTTTCTCACAGGTCCACAGGAAAGTAGGAGATACAAAATCGGTTGAATGGAGCGCATTTGGTGCTCATTGAAACGCCGCTTTGAAATTTGAAACATTCCGAATACTTCCGAAGATTTTCGAAAAAAAAAAAACGAATATTCGCGATTTCATTCTTATTTTTTCATGATTGACTATTTGAATCAATGTAACAAACCAAATCACACATTCTCATTTCTAGGTTTTCTGTTTTACAAGATGGTGTTATCAGTTTTTCGAACTGACGTTTCGTCTTCGAGCTGTCGTCATCAACTTTCGCTTTTTCAAATACGGCCCTGGATTTTTCATTATGGATTTTGAGAGATTTTAATATACAAAAATCAACGGTGTTATCGCGCTTATTCGAAAAAATAATTTTCCATAAGAACTCGTGTTAGAGAGACAGACAATAGATTTATGGTTAAATTCCACCAGGACATCGTTGAAATGATTTTTTCGAAAAAGAACGATAAATCATTGGTTTTGGAGCTTCTTAAAATTGATATGAAAAATCTATTCTTTCTCTCTCTCTCTCTAGCACATGAGTTCTTATGTAGAATGCCATCAATATGAATATAAGTGCAATGCACCGTTGATTTAGGACAGAAGCTCTTGAAATCCATAATAAAAATCCAGGACCGTATTTAAAAAAACAAAGTTGTTGATGGCAGCTCAAAGATGAAACGTCGGTTTGAAAATCGGATAACATCATCCTGTAGAACAGAAAAAGTAGTGATGAGAATGTGTAATTTGGTTTGTTTAATATTTTCAAATGGAGTCAAGAAAATTGGAATGATATCGGGAATATTCGGTTTTATCAAAAATCTTCAAATCATCTTCGAATTTCGAATAAGCTGCGTTTTATAGAGCACCGAATCGCCCAACTTTGCCTTCTTTCGACCGTCTTCGTATATTTTCTACTTTCCGAGATCCCAATAATGATGAGGCTCGAATTTGGGATAACCTGTATGTGTTATTTTTTTGCAAATTGGCTGTTACATTTCTCTAAAATTTCAACTTAAGTGTAATAAGGATATAATGACAAAGTATGTATCTTCTTTAAAAACCATACACTTCGATAGAACTTCGGTGCTTTTACATTCAAATATGAAACTACCTAGTGTAAGTGACTTATAGATATTCACTTTAGATGATGCGATGGGACTATTGAATAAATCGGTCGGATTTAAGAATAGTGTACCCCTCAAAGTGAACTCATTACCATGTTTCGAAATTTCTCTTACTCTCATTATTTGATGGTACTTTGTCAAAATATAGGAATCTCTTTCATTGGCGATGCCGATATTAATGTTATTGAACTTCAGAGATTTTATCTCACCTGAAAAACCTGATGAAGAACTAACACTATCACGAAAATTTTTCAAAGCAATGGAAGTATTATTGAATTCTAATTCTTTAAGACGATTATATAATTGTGCCAATGGTTTATTTGAAGAGCGTAATAATCTTTTGATTTGGCCAAGAAAACTTTCGAACATAAAACAGTTGAATTTATTTACGCTATAATTGTTTTGAACAGCCTCCTCTACCATATGAAGAATTGAGTGAGAATTATAGACTGGCTCCACAGAAGGATATAAGTTCTCAAAACGATGCACAAATCTTTTCATCAAATCAATTCCAACAGTGCCCATATTATCATCGTACACCCCGTTACAAACAATTCGCATGGAGCAATGAAACAACAAAAAATGATTAAATAAAGAACCCGGTAGAATATTTCTCAAAACAAACGGACCTGCATATAACATGAAGTTTCTGAATTCTGCAGCTTTCCAACGATCTAACTCAACCAACGGTCTAAGTCGTCTATTAAATTCATTCGGAAAAAAAGGAGAAATTTCCTTAATTCGCCTGTCGACCTCTTTTCTTAATCCAAGGGAAATACAAAACGACGATCCTGGCTTCAACCAGTGATGTAATAAACGTTTCATAACACCTAAACATGCCATATGCATGTAATCTAGAGGAAACCCCGAAACAAGTCCAAATCTATTAATTTCCACCAAGGGAGAAGTACTCAAATGATGACTTCCGTGAATTTGCAAAATGAAACTATCATCATTGCGGTTCACAACCTCATCTTCATTTATATACAGTATTCTGGAATTAATTCGACAACCTTTAATGCAACATTTTTCACAGCTATAATATGAATTGTGTGGCTTGATGCATTTTAAAAAAGATCTAGCTGGAGCATCACATATTAAATATTTCAAAGAGAATA